AGTGACTATTGTGATAGCCTCCTGAAGGCTTCACTGGGGCTGCAGAGAATCTCAGACACATGCTGGATGGTTTAGTTACTGATTGTTCTAGGACACGTGTCTGCCTTTCCTGAGCTGTATTCAAGAGATTGTAAATGGAAGCTGTGGTGCCCTTTGTGGGGGATTGAATAAGAATGACCCCCATAACAGACTTAGTAGTCTTCCTAGGGGAGGGGAGAGGGGAGAGTGGGAGGAGAGGAGGGGGAACTGGGATTGGAATGTAAAAATAAATTAATAAATATGCAAAAAAAAGGATGATCCCCCCCACCATAGGCTTACGTATTTGAATACTTGGCTCTCTGTTGGAGAATTATTTGTTTTTTTTTCATCAACCAATAAAAGAAACCCTAGGGATACATCCTGGTTCCACTGCCAGGGGCCCCATAGACTACCCAGTCCTCCTAGCCAACACCCACCTGGTTCTGTCCTATGCTGATTCCCCCAGCTGTCAGACTGGGGTCCATGAGTTCCCACTTGCTCAGGTCAGCTGTTTCTGTGGGTTTTCCCAGTATGGTCTTGACCCCTTTGCTGGTGGGGGTAGGGGAGGAACCAGAGGTTAAGGGACATATAGGTCATTGCTAACTCCCTCACTCCATTTTTAACATGGAGCGATTTTAACTCACACGTCAATTATGAGCTACATTTGTCCCATATGAAGTAGGTCCAGGAAAACACACAGCAGTATTCCTATCTGAAATACAGGTCTGGCATGGCCTACTTTAATATTACTCAAAAATACCAATTTTTTGTTTGTTTTAAAAAGACTTTTTATTTCATTACTTTTTATATCGAAATATTTTATTTAAAATTCACGTGGGCATATAGTGTGTTTGGATCAAATCTACCCCTAATTCCCTTAACCTCTGGTTCCTCCCCTACCCCCACCATAGCTTTCTTTCCCCATTCATGTGTTCTCTTTCCTGTTTTTTTTTTCTTTAGTACCCACTGAGTCCATTTAGTGGTGTCTCTATGTGCATAAATGTGGGTAGCTCCTACAAGGCCGTACACCTGGAGAAAACCTACCCCCTCCCCTTCCCAGAAGCCATCAGTTGTCAATAACTCCTCTGATTAGGGTGGGACCTTATGAGCCCCTCCTCCATTCATGCTGGTATTGTGTCTGGCCGGACCTTGGGCAGGTCTTGCTGTGGGTTCGTGTGTGCAGCAGCGCCGTCACATCCGGCAAATGCTCTTTCACTGAGCGTGTCTGTTACTTCTGTCTCTTAGAATCCTTCCATAGCTCTTTTTTTTTTTTTTTGATGACCTCTGAGCCTTTTGGGAAGGAGGTGTGATATAATGTCCTGATTTTAGGACTGTGAACACTGTGTAGCTGCTTATTCTCTGCACGTTGACCCACTGTGGGCCTCTGTGCTAGTCCCCACCTACTGCAAAAAGAAACGTCTCCTACGGAAGGCTGCAGGATGCACTCATCTATAGGCACAAGGATAAGAACTTATGGGGCAACTTATTGCTGTGGCTGTTTAGCAGAAGGATGGTGTAGCTAGCCAACAGGGATGAAGCTTCTAGAATGGTGCCAGCTCAATTTCTTCGTGTCCTGTGACACATGTTATGTGGTGTCTTCTTCAACAAGGTCTTAACATCAAGTTCTGTTGAGAAACCAAGAGCGATGGCAATAGCCTGCAGTGTTTACAGGATCTACCGGGACTCCACTGAACAACAACTCCAAATGACATAACCCGTACCTGGTGCTGGGCTTTTTATTTGAAAGTCTATGGTGTCTGGGGGAAGCTTTGTCTACCCCATTAGGGTAACTCCATTTAAGCCCCTTGTATGTATGCGTATATGCATGTGTGCTTTAGGAAGCTTCCGGAGTAGTAGTTTTCCATATAGTTATTCAGTGTTAATTACTCCCTCCCATATTCCCTTCCAACCCCATTCATTGCTCTCCTTACTCCATCATTCCTCTTCCCCCCCATCATACCACGTGTCCCCCTTTCTTTGAAACTCCCATCACAGCACCCACCCACCACTACTTGTTTCCTGACTTCTATTGGCACTCCAACTTAAGCACAAATATTTAATGACTCAAAGATAACATCCACATATGAGAAAGAACATGTAGCATTTGTCTTTCTGGGTCTGGGTTACTTCACTCAGAACTATCATTTCCAACTCCATATATTTACTTACGAATTTCATTTTTCTGAATAGCTGGATAATATTCCATTGTGAATATGAACCTCTTTTCCATTAGGTTATCATCCACTGATGGACTCCTAGGCTGTTTCCATTCTCTGGCTATTGTGAATACAGCAGCAATGAACACAGATGAATAGGTATCTCTGTCGTAGGATGTTCCTAGGAGTGGTCAAAACCAATTTTATTTAGGACTTAAAGCAGACAGATTTCTTGCTTTGGTTCTTCAGAAATTGCTGAATTCCACTGTAGACTATCAAAACTTGACCCTTATCTACTCCAGACAATTCAAAAACAGCTCTGGCTTCTTTCAGTGTGTGCAACTGTACTAAACACAAATTCATCCTTCAGGCTTGTTCTTTCCACAGATGTTTTGAATTCTCATTTTACCAGAAACTAAAGAAGTCAGTGAAGAACCTGCCATGATTATCCCCTGAAGGGTCATTGAGGCAGGGTCATTGAGGCAGAGTAGGCACGCTTGCCAGGTGCAGAGACTAGAGATGCTAGTCAGGAGGGTGTAGAGACTCTAGAGGTCAGTAGGAGAGTGTACAGACTATAGACATAATTTATGAGGGTGTAGAGACTATGGACATCATCCAGGATGGTGAAGAGACTATAGATGCCAGTCAGGAGTGTGATTTCAAAGTGTTCCCAAGTACCTGGGTCTGGTTATCTGGAAGATATACAAGCACAGACCCCGAATCTTTCCCAAAAAAAGAAAAATCAGTTTCCTATGTAATCTGTCAGACTGGGCCTTAAGTAAGGCTGATAGAGAATGAGGCCCACCCATTTCCCAGTTTAATGCAGGGTTTCCACAAGCAGTTTTGAAACCCAAGGTCGCAAGTAAGTGTATCTTGTTCATTTGAGTGTGTTTACGTAAGACTTTGTTAAACCAAGTTTGCCAGCCTGGCTGACTTCCCAGGCATATTTCCAGAGAAAAGAGGCAGGGGCTGAGGTAGGGTTGGGCTATCAAGAGATTCATGTGGCCAAGTAAAATGAGAGGGGGACCAGGAGAGATAACCAAGCTTTGACATGGCTCTATAGAAGGTAGGAAAGTAGGTTTGTGTTTCATTACCTGGAAAGACTGTCGAGCCCTCGGTGTTTTCCTTTAAACTAATTCAGGCAACCGTTACTGTTTGAGTCCTGATGAAGCCGGAAACTGAGCAAGGTGGCAGGGGAGAAAAGATGCTTCTCTTTGGGCGAAAGAAAGAAAGATGCAGGACTACCCCGCAAACACTGGTGGAGGTCATATGAGTGACACAGGCACAGGGATCCACAAGGAGGCTCTGGAGAGAAAGCGCCAAGAGCAGAGTGCCAGCAGGACTAAGCCGTCCGGGTGTTTCAGCTGGCCCCCTGAACGGAAATGTCCGGAAGCAAACTCGTTTCAAGAGTGGATCCCGTAAGCTGTATCGGGTGCTGTTTCTCTCCAGTTCTCAGGGCTGCTCCCACGTTCTCGACCTCATCTCAAAGCTCGCCATACCGATGGTCTGAAGACGCTGCTTCTAGGTTCCAGGCTTTTGCCCACATATAGTAGTGAACAGATGGGGCCAGTGAGATGGTATGGAAAGAAAAGGTACTCAGGAAACACGTCCGATGACCTGCGTTTGATTCCTGGAACCCAAGGGCCCCTGGAGTTCTTTGTCTTACCACGCGTGTACGTGAGCAGGCTCTCGGGAATATGGGTACATAAGAAGAGGAAGAGAAGAAAGAGGACGAGGGGAGGAAAAAGGAGAGGGGGGGGAGGCTTGTTGCAGGAAGAGCTCCCCCCAGCATCAAACAATTGCTGCGGCTTGGCAGTGGCGTGTTGGGTTGAACTCACCAACCTCCAGGTCACATTCTACCAGATGGGTAGGGGAACGGTTTAGTTTATCAACAAATGCAAATCTGAGTATAAAAGCCCCGGGGTTGTGTGACTCTGCTCAAGGGCAGAGTTGGGAAAGAAGAGGCCGGGGAAGACGGAATGGAAGAGGAAAGAATGAGGGGCAACCGGACATGAGCAGACAAAAAAAAAAAAAAAAAAAAAACCAAAAACCAACCAAACAATATATTTTAAAACAAACAACAACATTGGACATTGTTTGCTGTTTATCTGAAGTTTTAGCTTAGTGGAGGCCACCCTATGGGAAACACTGAGCAGGGAGCAGTGAACTATGTCAGGGGGCACTGTGAAGAAGGAGGGCCTTAAGGACTCCTGTCCAGAGCCTTGTGGGAAGACTGACTCCAGGCCTCAGACTGCTCAGGTATCTGAACAAAGGCTCGTGCTGAAGTTCACTATGTTTCCCGACCAGCTCTTGCTCATACAAGATAAAACAACCGGCCAGATGAGAAACCACTCTTTGTCCTTGGAGCATCTATTTGAAGACTTCCAGTGGGTGGCCAAAGGAAGTGAGCAGCACCACACTCTCTCACAGGCTTTTCCCATCCGTACAGAACCAGTGATAAAGTTTGATTTATGAATTAGGCACAGTTAGAGAATGCAACAGTTGCCGATAATAATAGAGAACAACTCCAATGGCGGTGCTGTGAGGAACTGTCGGTGGATACTGTTGCTGAGACGAATTGTCGGTGGACACTGTTCTTGTACCTTTTTGGCTACTGCTACTAAGTAAAAAGAGGATGTTAGAAAATGAGCAATGTGCCACAGAGTCAGTAAATCTAATGGCGGACACAGCTGCTGAGGGACTCGGGGTCTGGTAGCACACATCGTGTGGATATACGGGACAAGGGAGTGATTGATGTTCCAGGCAGGATGGAGAGGGATGTTAGGATGTTTTGTCATGCTGCTGTGAATGGCAACTTCTGGAAAGAGAGTACGCAGACTGACTGACTGATTAGAGTTTCAGTACTGTGGAGAGACAGGATGCTGCAGGTCCAGAGGCTAACCATTTGCCTTCTCTTGGGCTAGGTTCTGGCTCTCCAGAACAGCCATTCCTTACACCCTTCCCACCGGAACTAACATCCTGTGGCAATAGACAAAGTCGTTTAGAACCTATTGACTTCACAGACAACCAGCTTCTACTTCCGGGAGCCGGGAATGCTGCCGGATAGCATCTTGAGTCTACAGGAAAGCTATCCCCATCTCCATCTACCTGTCCCTGGGAATGTACCCACCAAAGTATTTTAAACTTGCCTCGATTATCTCTGTTCTGGAAAACTACAAAAACCCGTGAAGCTGCTTCCACAGTGAAACAAGGTATTTCAGGTAACCTAAATCTGTTCCCTGGGCCATGGTCACTCAGAATGGCTCCAGAATAAACCATCTCTTACTCCCTTTAGGACAAGGAGCTGTGGTTTTTGCATCAACATTACAGAAGAGAAAGCACGTTAAACTGAGAACATACTCACTTGTGGAATTTTCTGCTCAATGGGTTCAGACCCCATTTGGTCAGATGTAACAGAAACCACAATATAATTAGTCAGGGTTCTCTAAAGGAGCAGGGCTGATTGAATGAATATATATGAATATATACATATATATGATAGTGGTGTGTGTGTGTGTGTGTGTGTGTGTGTGTGTGTGTGTGTGTGTGTTTTGAGAAGGGGACTTATTAGAGTGGATTACAGGATGTGATCTGAGTGAGCTCCAACAACGGCTGTCTTGCAATGGAAAGGCCGAAAAATCTGGTGGCTGTCCAGTTCTTGAGGCTGGATGTCTCAAACATCAGTCCAAACCTGGTGCTAAAGACCTCTCGAGTATTCTTGGAGAGCCGCTGACTTCAGTCTCTGTTGGAATCCTGAAGATGCTGTAGTTCACACTGGTGACAGCAACAGGGACAGATGAACTTGCCAGCATGAGTGAGGGAAAATGGGCAAAAAGCAAGGGACCCCTCTTCCACGTCCTTTTACGTGGGGCCGCCGCCAGAAGGTGGGGCACACGTTTAGGATGGGCCTTCCGGCTTCAGATAACCAGATTAAGAAAAGCCCCCACAGAGTGCCCAGAAGCTTGTTTTTTGGTTTTTTTTTTCAGTTGATCCCATATGTAGCCAGGATGACAACAGAAACTTGTCATCATTCACAAAGACATGACATTGGGGGTCTGCACAATGTCTCAGCAGGACATGAGCTTGACACCCTGAGTCTGGTCCCTGGGAGCTCACATGTCAGAAAGAATTGGTTCCTACAAGGTTTCCTCTGACTTCCTCACCATGGCAGGCATGCACTCTCCTCCCCAAATAAAACGTAATTTCTTAAAAAGTGAAACTATAGATTTTTTTGAGAGATATTACTGTTAAGTAGTCTGGCCCACGTGAGTGTTTGGCTCTGCCGACATGGTCCAGCATTGAACTTCCCTCTCTCACCACTGAAGGCCACACCAAAGTCTCCTATGAGAATCCCAGTTGCCTGATGTTACTGTAGTGCATATATAGAGATGTTAGGCTAAAGTGATAAGACAGGCTCCACTGGGCTAAAGTTAAAAATGATTGACAGGACTGTGATACCTCTAGAAGCGATTCTGCTTCTTTGCTTTTCCAGCTGTCTGCTTTCCTTGGCTTATGGCCTGTGGTAGTCTGAATCAGGAGTGGCACTATTAGGAGGTATGGAGTTGTTGGACTTAGGTTGTGGCCTTGTTGCAGGAAGTTTGTCACCGTAGGGGTGGGCCTTGAGGTCTCATATATGCCCTGTGTCTCAGACCGCATCCTGTTGACTGAGGATCAAGGTGTAAGAATTCCCAGCTCTTTCTCCAGTACAGTGTCTGCCTGCACGCTGCTTTGCTTGCCACTATGATGACAATGGGCTAGACCTCCGAAGTATCAGTGAAACGCCCCAGTTAAAGGTTTTCCTTTATAGGAGTTGCTGTGGTCATGGTGTCTCTTCACAGAAATAGACACCCTGACTAAGACACGGCCCCGAGTTGCTTTGATTTCTCCCGTCACCACGTGTCCTCTGCTTCCCTGTCTATCACAAGGACCCCCGTGATTACACGGGGATTGATCAGATAATCCAAAATAAACCTCCCCATCCCAAAACCTTTGGTTTCATCAGATCTGCAAATTATTGGTTTTTTTTCCATGAAAGGCAAATTGTCTCAGTTAGGGTTTCTGTTGCTGTGATGAAACACGGTGACCAAAAAAGCAACTTGGGGAGGAAAGGGATTGTAAAGGGAAGCTTTTTCCTTGTCTGCAGCTTTGGTTTTCCCCCGCCAGTCTCCTGGGCTCTGCCGCATTGTAGTCCCCAAATAACACACAAGACGCTCTATTAATTATGAAGCTGTTGGCCTTGCTTGTTTCTTACTGGCTAGCTCTGACTTAAGTATTTATCCCATAATTGTTAATCTAAGTATTTCTCTTACCGGAGCAAAGTTCTGGACTGGCGGGCTACATCGTGACTTCCTGTGTTTCTCCTACCCAGAGTCCTCCTGGACTCCTAGTCCCACTTATCTTGCTTCCCTATTGGCCAACAGTGCTTTATTGACATATACATAGGACTTCCCCCATCAAGGGATGATACATGCCTTGCACTTTCATAGCCCTGTTCACCATCAAAGAAGTCAGAGCAGGAGCTCAAACAGGGCAGGAAACCAGAGACAGGAGCTGATGCAGAGGCCTTGGAGGAGTGCCGCTTACTGGCTTTCCCCTCATGGGCCTGATTTTTTTGTTTGTTTGTTTGTTCGTTTATAGAACCCATAAAAAAGTTTGAGCCACCCCGCCTTGGGGATCATCTGTCTGCTTGCCTAAACAGCTTCTATAGACTCCCTTGAAGCTGCACATAGTTGTGGTGCCTTCATACGGGCCCACTGGCCAATGAGAAGCTGAAGTCCAGTTTAGAATATGGCCACTTTTTTTTCCTCAGCTAGAAGACGCATGTGAGTGTCAGAGACCTTTGCCTTCTCTCTTGTCTGTTCATCTAGTATGGAAAGCAATGTGCCTCCTAGAAAGTGACGCTACCTTACCAACTGAAGAAAAAAGCTACATGTCAAGATCGCAAACAAAATATGGTCAAAGGATATTAATAGTCTTTTGTTCTTGCCTCCCCCCTCCCTCCCTCCCTTCTTCCTTCCTTCCTTCCTTCCTTCCTTCCTTCCTTCCTTCCTTCCTTCCTCTCTCTCTCTCTCTCTCTCTCTCTCTCTCTCTCTCTCTCTCTCTCTCTCTCTTTCTTTCTTTTGAGACGGTTTCTCTGTGAAGCTGTCCTGCAACTCACTCTGTAGACCAAGCTGGCCTCAAGAAGATTTGCCTGCCTCTGCCTCTGCCTCCTGAGTGCTGGGATTAAAGGTGTGTGCCATCATTGCCCGGCTCTTTTTCTTTTTTTTTTTTAAACTGGGTAACATACATTTATTTATTTTCTTACGTTATTTTAGGTGTATGGGCATTTTACCTGAATGTATGTATGTCTGTGTACCACAGGTGTGCCTGGTTCCCACAGAGGCCAGAAGAGGGCACCAGATCCCCAGGACGAGATTTACAGATGGTTGTGAGCCACTATGTGGGTTCTGGGAACTGAACCCCTAGAAGAACAACCAATGATTTGAACCACTGAGCCTTCTTTCCAGCCACAGGGTCTGAGGTTTTTTTGTGTGTGTGTCTGCGAGTGACAGGGTTTCTCTGTGTAGCCCTGGCTGTCCAGGAACTAGCTTTATAGACCAGGCGGGCCTCAAACTCATGGAGACCTGACTGTGTCTGCCTCCTGTGTTGGGATTAAATGCATGCACCATCACACCCTGCAGAACCATGACTCTTTTTTTTTGTATTTATTTATTTATTTATTTTATTTTCCAGTTTAAATTTAGATAAGAGACAAGGTTCTTCACAAGTCAGTTCCAGGTCCCTCTCCCTTTCCCTCCCCTCCTCCCGTGCCCTCCCCCAACCCCCCCCCCGTTATCCCCTCATTCCCCCAGGGAGGGTGAGGCCCTCCATGGGGTGTCCATAGTCTGTCATTTCATATAGGGCAGGGCCTAGACCCTTCCCCAAGAGTTCAGGGTGAGAGTGCACCTCACATTGTTCTATGGGAGTCCAAAGTCCGTGTGTATACTTGGGATGGGTACTGATCTGCTGCCCAAGGCTCAATAGATTCCCTAGGCCTCCTCACTGACACCCAGATTTAGGGGGTCTTGATCAGTCCCATGCTGGATTCCCAGGCTGATGCCTGGGATTCAAGAGTTAACCTTTGTCTGGTCAGCTGTTTCTGGGGGTTAAACCAGCCCAGTCTTAATCCCTTTGATCATCAGTCCTCCCTCTCTGTTACTGGCTTTCTTGAGTTCAGCTCAGTACTTAACCAAGGGAGTCTGCCTCTTCTTCGATCAGCCACTAAATGAAGTTTCTGTTTCCCAGACTCTCTGGCCATAGGATTGTAGGCTGGCACTCCCCAGATCTATGTCTAAAATCCATATATGAGAGAGTACATGCCATGTTTCTCTTTTTGTGACTGAGTTACCTCACTAAGGATGGTTTCTTCTAGTGTCATCCATTTGCCTGCGAATCTCATGATTCCATTACTTTTTTCTGCTGAATAGTACTCCATTGTGTAGATGTACCACATTTTCTCTATCCACTCTTTGGTTGAGGGACATCTAGGTTGCTTCCAAGTTCTGGCTATTACAAATAAAGCTGCTATGAACATAGTGGAACAGACATCTTTGTTGTATGAATGGGCATCTTTTGGATATATGCCTAAGAGTGGAGTTGCTGGGTCTTGTGGTAGGTTTATTCCCATTTTTCTGAGGAATCTCCATACTGATTTCCAAAGTGGCTGAACCAGTTGGCACTCCCACCAGCAATGGAGGAGTGTCCCCCTTTCACCACATCCTCTCCAGCATAAATTGTCATTGGTGTTTTTGATTTTAGCCACAGAACCATGACTCTTAAAGGCATTAAGTCTGGGTAGAGCCAGAGGCAGGAGCAGAATGACTCCCTTTCAGTGGTTTAGAAATACACCTGAAATCTGAAGTGATTGGTCACCCAGTGAAGGAAGCACATGTGGGAAGGTGTTCAGAGCCACACAGCTCACCAGGGCAATATTTATTAAGCCTACAGACTTTTCCTGTTTACGGCTATGAACCACACTGCTTGCCGCAATGACTTTCCGAGGGCTGCAAAGAAACATGGCAGGTAAAACCAGAGTAACTGTCCCTGAAGAACACTGGGAACATCAGGAGGGTGAAGACATCTTTGGCATCTATTATTAGAGGGTCTATCTACATATGATCCTTTGAGGACGCCATATGTGACATTTTTAAATGTCATTTAAAGATGTGTGTATCCGTGGGTCTGAAGAGATAGCTCATCTATGGAGAGCACCAGACGCACCTCCAGAGGGCCCAGATTCAATGACTAGCATCCACATTGTGATTAACAACCATTAATAATTTTCGTTCCAGAGCATCCAGCGTCATCTTTTGGTCTCTGCAGGCATTTGGAGGATGCATGCGGTGCATAGGCATACATGCAGGCAAAACAGTTATACTCATAAAGTAAATCTTTTTTTTTTTCTTTTTAAGGCAACAGATGCATGCAGAGTGAAGTCTCCCTAGCTCAAGCCAGCAAGAGTTGCCACTGTTTCTTAGGATCCCCTCGCACTGGAGCTCAGAGGTATGTGGAGACTGTTTCAAACACAGTGTGCTCTTAACTGTTCTTGAGGGCACGCGTTAAAACTAATCTCTCAGCCGGGCATTGGTGGTGCACGCCTTTAATCCCAGCACTTGGGGGGCAGAGGCAGGTGGATCTCTGTGAGTTCAAGGCCAGCCTGGTCGACAGAATGAGTTCCAGGACAGTCTCCAAAAAAATAAAGAGAAACCCTGTCTTGAAACAAAACAAAACAAAACTATTCTCTCTCACCACCAAACTGCTTTCTGAAGGGCTTTTGCTGGCATTTAATTTCGTTGTGTCACAGAGTGAAGATGTCAGATAGATGATCATTAGGAGCTCTGCCACCCACTCACCCTGGTGGGTAAAGGAGATGACATAAATTCCTGCAAGGTTCTGAGGACCTGCGTGACCGTCACACACTTGTCCTTAGTCCCTGGCATAATCTGACGGAGGGAGGTGAATAAGAAAGGATGACTGGTGAGCAGAGTAGGGTGCTTTGGGTTTTAGGTGGTTTGCCTAAAGTTTCCTAACTCCCGGGCTCTGTAAGGGAACATGGAGATTTTGCCAAAACAAAACAAAAGCCCAACAACCCTACAACAATAACAAAAAGAAAAAAAAAGTCCAGAAATCTTTGATTGTATCGCTCCATAGTGACTTTAAGAAGTCAAATAGTTTAAAATTGTTCATTTAAAAAAACAGGATATTCTATTCAGTTAACAAATTTATTTGGGACCAGTGTCTCATTATGTAGCCCTGGCTGGCCTGGAGATCTCCTTGTAGACCAGGCTGGCCTGGAAAAGAGATCCAACTGCTTTTGCCACCTCTCAAGCGCTGAGGTTAAAGGCGTTGCCTGGCCTGACATCACTGTTTTGAGTGTGGCAGTGGTGCAGTATGGGTATTAGGATATTAGTGCTGCTGTCCTTACAGAGGCTAGGGTGGAGGCCGCATCCTCAGTCACGCAGTCGGGCAGCATATGTCTTTAGAAGGCTACCTATGGTCTAAAAACAAAAGGGATACCACAGAGACCCTAAGATACAGTGGCAATAGGCAAAATTGGAGGAGGGAGAGAGATTTGAGGTCAGAACTGAAGATACACTTGGTTGCTTGAAGGGAAGTAGTCTGACATTTCTTGAGTTTGGTCCTAGGCTGTTTATAGTGTCGTGTGGACTTAGAGACAGATTGGTAGACCTCTTTAAGAGACACAGGTCTTAAGCAAAGATTGTAGGAAAAAAAATAAAGGATTATGTGTGGTAAGAGACATTCATAAACAGAAAAGGATAGAAATTGATATACTTTCTTTGTTTTTAAAATGTACAGTGTTTGGGCCAGAGAGATGTCTCCATGGTTAAGGGCACTTGCTCTGTCAGGGGACTCAGGTTAGATTCCCAGCACCCACACCGCAGCTCACAACCTTCTGTAGCCGGTTCCGGGAAACCAGAAACCTTCTTCTGACTTCTTCAGGCAAATATTAGAGGCACACATATCACACAGACACACATTTGGGCAAAAAACACTCATACACATTAAATAAATAGTAAATTTAAAGAGAAAAAATGAAACTTTTATTTGGAAAGAATACTAAATAATGGTTCAAACTGATTGGCCAGTCTTCAAAACAATAATCATCGTGTTCATTTCCAGCACAAGGGCATTGCCTAAGCAGTGTCCAGAGTCTTTGCTTCCTTCTACATAGTCATGTACAAGCACTAACCTTCTGGGCCCAAGACATTTCTAGCAGCTGATGACGGTTTGGACAAAGACTTGGTGGTGGCCTCTGTTTCCAGTGGGTCACTGATGCTAGAGTTTGGCCAATAACCTCTAACTGGGGTTCAAGAAAGCACTTTTTTTTTTCTACCATAATCACTGAAAACAGTGGTTTCACTGGGAGGATGAGGCAGGAGGATTGCCATGAATTTAAGGCCATCCTGGGCTGTGTAGAAAGACTTGTCTAAAAAAAGTTGATACCATTGTTTCATACAATGATATATGTACCGTGTACTCTTTTCGCCAGCCTGGTCCCTGAGCCGTTATCAGTTCCAAATGAACATGCAGGACGCTATATGAATTATAAAGCTGTTGGCTGCTTGCTATGGTTTCTTAATGACTAGCTCTGACTTAATTATTAACCCATAATTACTAATATATATTTTCCTTTTTTAATAAGGTCTTATCTTGCTGAGAACACCAGACTTGCTCCCTCTCCTTCCGGGATCACTTGGTGACTCTCTACTCTTGACTATATTTCCCAGAATCCTCCTCAACTCCTAGTCCCACGTATCTTGCTTCCCTATTGGCCAACAGTGCTTTATTTATCAACCAATCAGACAAAATATACACAGAAGGACTTCCCACATCAGATATATGTATATGTATGATTATATATGTGTGCACATATGTATACATCTCAACATATGCGTATTTCAAGCTTATGTGTGAGACAGTAAAAAAATGTTCCTTTGAAAATGTGCATGTATGGGCACAGAAGTATAAAATTTCCTTAATTTTTTTACCAGAATATTCTTCCAATGCAAAAGAATAATTTGTTATAAATTTTGCTACATATAAAATAAAAACTATTATGAAAAACAACCCCGTTAAGCCTGTTACTTGGGAGGCAGAGGCAGTAACAGCAGCTGGTCATTTTCAGCTCTGGAGCAAGTCTTAGGCCAATCTACATGTGCCTTCATCTCAAAAAGAAAAAAAAATCTATTACCAAGCTCTGGCTTGACAAAATGTTTTTATTGGCCCAGAGAAAAGGGGGCATGAATTCACTTCAAAATAATGAGTCTTTATTTTTGTTAGTTTATTTTAAAAAAAAAAAGCAAGAATAAAAACTGGACAGCAAGTAGGTTTGCCCTCAAAACAGGGCTGCTAGTTTCTCTTGCTCCTATGAGGGCTGGTCATGCCATTATCCAGCAACCAATCACATACCCCGTCTTTCACACCCTCATTAATCTGCTGGTGAATACGAGCACCGCTAGAATAGGTTACGTGAGAACGGCTTCCTGAAGCAAAGTGTATCCATTACCAGGGCCAAGTAACCCCTGAACCAGGTGTTCCCGGCAGACTGAGGAGTTTCGGAAACGTCAGCTTGGGCAGAGACACTTGCCTGATACACTGTTGCTATCTGGCCTCCCACAGAATGTTCGCATTATTTACTGCTTTGTAGACAGATCACTTGAGCGGGAGAAAAATGTCACATCTGACCTTGTTCATACTTGACCAGCTTCCGCTGAAACAGAGGGACAGCCTGTGAGTGCTTCCCAGAGTGTGGTCACCAGGCTAGCAGGAGAGCGGAAGCTCTTCCAGGGCCCACAACCAGCTATTGACTCCCTAACATCTGCCCTGAATACAAACACTCCTTGCCTGAGCGATGGGGAGGATGGAAGGATGGAAACACAGTAAGTCCTTGACCATAGCCGCATCCGCGAACCTAGCCCATTTCCACAGAGACCCCATTGTGATCCTGCAGGATGCATGCCGTGCAAACGCTATTCTGTGTGCGCCCGGAGTCCCTGAGTTCAATCCCTGGGACTCACATGGAGAAACCTACTCCTTCAAGTTGTTGGACCTCCACATGTGCTGTAGCATATACGCTGTCCTTCACCCCCCCCCAACATGCAATAGAGATGTTTGAAGCTATTGATAAAGAATTTTACAGGAAAACATCTTCCTAAGAGATTAAATATGAGTCATTGGATGTTTGCTTAAAATGTCAATATTCCGGGCTGGAGAGATGGCTCGGAGGCTAAGAGCATTAACTGCTTGCTCTTCCAGAGGACCTGAGTTCAATTCCCAGCAACCACATGGTGGCTCACAACCATCTGTAAGGAGATCTGGTGCCTTCTTCTGGCCCGTAGGCATGCGTTTAGCCAGAACACTATATATACATAATAAATAAATAAATCTTTTTTAAAAAGTCAATTTCACACAGATTAGACAGAACCCAAAGATAAACCCGGGGCTGTGCCTGAAGCTGTGTAGCTCCAGTTTATTCAGGAGCCTGAGGCAGGACTGATTAAATTTAGGAGTTTGAGATCAGGTCCCGGGAAGGATAGTAAAAAAAAACCCATCTAAAAAAAAAAAAACACTAGTGTAAATCAGCTTAAGCAGAATTTTCTTAAAAGACTAGGCATTATCAGTTTGTGAGGGAAGAGCCATCTTGTCGGAGGCTGAATTTCATGCTTGAGATATTTCGTTTAGGGAACCACGATGGCAAAGGCCTCGAGGTGAAGGGAGCCTCTTTGTTTTAGACAGCCACTTCTCAGAGCCTTCCATGGTGCTTGCTCTCGGGGAGCACATGGAGTTTCCAGGTCTGGCCAGGGGGTCCAGGTCTGTGGATTTATAGTTGATTCAACCAAAGAGGTGAGGAGGTAACGCGTCAACATTGCTACATGAAAAGGCAGGCCCTTTGCCCAGCGCTCTGCCGTGCTGTAAGCTGTGCCGCACAAGCACGCGCCGCTTCTCCCGGCTTGTAAGGTGTGCGAACCTCAGAACACAGAAGACGACTGCAGAAAGTGTTCGGATGGGTGATCAGGAATCAGGTTCTGGAACCGCACTGGAAAGCACACGTCCTGGATTACCTTATATGGGGGAAGAGACACCCACAGACAGGCACACCAGTCGCCTGTAGGTGTTGTGGTCGATTTCCAGTAGAGAGCCAGGCAAGTGTAAGCCGGAGTAGGAACTTGCTAATGAGATCTGCGTTTTATATGGTGTCCAGATCAAGGAAAACAATCTTCTAATAGGTGCTTGCCAGTCAGTCCACATCTGGAGTTGTGATCTGCACGACACCCTGGGGAGGCCCGGCTGGCTGAGGGTAATGGAGAACAGGCAGAGGTCAGCAATGAGGGAGGTCGAGGGATGACTGGAGGGGGTGGGGGGATGCAAAGGGAAGCAGCTAATGAGAATCTAAGTCTTTGAAAAGCTGGGAGCGTCCCTGAACAGCAGCTCCGGCTTATGTCTTCCAGGCACACTACAAAAAGGAGCTGAGAGATTTGAAACATAAGAAACCCACGGCCGGGTCCTTTTCTGACTTCCCAACAAAGGCAGAGAGACCCGCTGTAGTGACAAAGCTACGAGTGAGTGGCAGTGAGCCAGGCAGAAGCTGGGATGGATTTCCAAGGTGCCTGTGGAGAGCTTGCAACCAAATGCATTGTGCGACGGTAGCCTCTGGTTCGGATTGCCTGCTTTAACAAAAAACGTTTGTCTCCTTGTTGTTGAGGACCAGGGAAATGCTGCAATGGCCATGAGCTCTATTAAAGCATACATTCTCATGTTGTTCTTGCTCTTCACTCTTTGGGAGTGTTGTATGCTTAGTATGAAGGTCTACTAAAAGATCTTTCCAAAGGTTCCCTACATCTTTCTTGCCAATATTTGATATTATGTCCTTTAAAAAAAAGATTTTATTTTTAACCACGTGTCTATGTGTCAGTTTGTGGATATGTGCATACGTATGTGAGTGCCCCCAGAGGCCTGAAGAGGGTGTTGGCATTCCTCTAGAGCTGGAGTTACAGGTGGGTATGAGCCATCTGATGTGAATATTGGAATTGAACTTGATCCTCTGCAAGAGTAAGTAGTTTATGCTCTTGACTATGAGTTGTCTCTATCTCTCCAGGTTTTTTTTTTAAAAATCAAGGACAACATAGTGGGAATAAAGTGGTATCACACTTTTTTTTCTTTTTTCTTTTTTATTTTCTTTTTGGTTTTTCGAGACAGGGTTTCTCTGTGAACTATAGTCAGGTTTCTCCTGACTATCCTGGATCTCACTCTGTAGACCAGGCTGGCTTAGAACTCACAGAGATCCACCTGCCTCTGCCTCCTGAGTGCTGGGATTAAAGGTGTGTGCCACCACCACCCGGCTGCACACTGGTTCTTATTTGCACTAATGCTAAGGATCGTTACATGTGCTCATTGGCTGTTTATATACCTTCTACAGAGAAAAGTCTACACAAATAATTTGCTAATTTTCAATTGGCTATTTGCCTTTTTATTATTGCGTTGTAAGAGTTCTTTACATATTTTGGATACAACTTACTCATCAAATATATGTGTTGTATTTTCTCCCAGGCTGTGGGTTGTCCTTTCAACTTTCTTGAAGGTAGGGTTTCAGCAGAATTTTAAAATCTCAATGAAGTCCAATTTGTCCAACTTTTCTTCATGTGTACTTTTGTCTAAATTGCTATAGACTTCTAAAGGTTTCCACCTATTGATTTAAGGTAGGTGAATGAAGCTTATGAAAGCTGTGACATAATTGCTAAGCTTTAGCTGTAGATACATTGACAGGCAGTCAATATCTTTGCTAAGCATCTTGGCCTACTAAGCTGAAGATGTGTTGATCCAGATTCAGTTTGTACATCAGTCCACACATCACAACTGAATCAACTTCGGAAGCAGATGGGTCCTCTGGAAATCCCCATGGAAACAGTGAAACACTCATTTGAGAATTATCTCTCTCCCTAACATGTTACAGAATACACTTATAGTCATGAACAAGTAGGTGGTGGTGAGGGAGTGTTTGCTTGTAGATGAATCTTCAGTATAGTATTACCAAACTAATTGCATGCTCTTTCTTCAGCCCCTAGGAGAAGGAACTGATTAAAATTTGAAGTGAGAAAATGTGACTTCCAAAGCAGTTATAGTACATGTTTGAAAACAAACCCCCTCATGTCAGATAATTAATCCCAAGATTAATTTTGGGCCCTATGCACACTGGGCAAGTACTCTGCCATTGAGCTACATATACAACTACAAATCATTTTTTATGATTCCAAATACAGAATATAAAGCCTGACAAATATTTTCTAGGTCTTAACAAAAAAGCTTTTCATCAGTGGTAAAAATCTGAGGAAACCATGGTGTTAAATTTGTTCAAACACATGAGTTTGAAAATATGGAGGAGCAGCTTCCCTGTGGAATGGATGTCAGTAGGACAGAAAGCCCTCAGCTTTTACCCACCATTTCAAAAACGATTGAACGATCTTTAAAGACAGAAACATATAATATCTCACAGGTAGGTATGCATCAATCAGAACTTGGTTTCATTCAATAGCTAGTGCCCTTAATTCCATAATCCCTGGATCATTATGTGAAGCTATACACGAAAATTGCATAACTTTAAACACACTTAAGGATCTTAACCAGTGACTCACTTGGTTGCACAAGTTGTTTCTGTCATTATCATACCTGGTTGTTCCCATGTGACTTGGTTCTCTGGTGACTTTCATTTACCGACAGAAACTCCCATTGGTCAACACTTCAGGATGGCCAGGCCTATGGCCTCATGTTTATAATCCCAACACAAAGAACCTGGGACAAAAGGATCAATAGGGGTCAGATCCCAGCCTGGGCTACATAGTGAGTTTCAGGATAGCCTGGGGGTATGGACTAGGACCTGCCTCAAATCAAAACCAGACTCTGTAAGATAATTTACATCTATGGTTTCCAAAACTGTATCTATTTTTTTATAGGAGCAATGCTAGCTCTAGAAGCATATGAAGTGAAATACCCTCAAGAGAAAAATGCAATGAAGAGGAGGAAAACCAAACTAAACCAAAATGAATCAAAACATTAGCTGTTAAACACAGCCACGAGGACATTGTTTTCTCACTTGAAACCTCATGAAAACACAGTGAAAGCTCCTGAGCATGAGAAAGAATGGGTGAAGAGACCAAGAACAGGTTAGGACCAGACAGTTAGCCAGGGGATAGAATCGACCTTAGCCAATTGGAGAGGCATAGGCCCCGACCTCCTGAAGGACCAGGAAGACTCGGACTGATGCCAGCAAAGCCCGCATTGGCTCAGACACTCAGACGGTTGAGTGCAGACTCACAGGAGGGAAGCTGATGATTTGAAATGAGCCCTCCCCACCCCATGTATTCCTCCACTGGTCCCACCTTCCTCCAGCAGAAGACAGAGGGAGCGGAACCACAGAGACTCTGGTCAAGGAAATACTTGTTCCCTCTTAGTAAGGATCTCTGCTGGAGGCTTAAATTAAAAAAAAAAAATGGACACCTTGAAGCGGACCTCAGCAGCAGCTGCCCTTTAAGCCCATTCTTACCCGATGTCACAGAATGGTTCAGGTTCCTTCACTTTAATTAACACACCAGCAGAAGTGTCTAATTATGAAACTGCTGGCTGATGACTAGGGCTTCTTATTGGGTAGTTCTGTCTTAATTATTAACTCATAACTACTACTCTATGTATTTCTACATGACCTTATCTTACCGGAGAACACCAGACTCACGTCCTCTCTCCAGAGCTTACATTGTAACTTCTCCTTTGCCTACACCTTCCAGAATTCTCCTCATCTCCTAGACCCGTCTGTCTTGCTACCCTATTAGCCGACAGTGTTCTATTCATCAACCAATAAGGTAAACACATACAGAAGGACAAGCCCATCACTCATGAGTTCACAAGTGTGTGCGTGTGAAAACCAGAGACAAGCATCAGGGCGTCTTCCTCTGTTGCTCTCCACTCCCTGCTCCCCCCACCCCCCAACTGCTTCCTTTTTGAGTCAGGCTCTCTCACTGAATCTAAAGGTCACTGAGTTCAGTTAGACCGGTTGGCCACCAAGCCTGTAGAATCCTCCTGTTTTCATCTTCCCAGTGCCTGGCTCCTTATATGGGTGCTCAGATCTAGACTTGGCTTTTCAAGCTTGCACAGCAAGTCCCTTACCTACTGAGTCATCTTCTCAGTCCTGGCACTAAAGATATCTTAGAGGCCAGACTGAGATGACCAGAGACCCCCCCCCCAAGCTAGAGAGCTTGTTTGTCTGAGCTAACCAGAGACCCCCCCCCCCCCCGCCCGCCAAGCTAGAGAGCCAGCCTGTCTGCCTGGGGCAAGCACTGGTCCACGCCTACAGGTCACGTTAAGCAGAAATGGTGGCACAGGCTTCTCACACTGTTATCAAGCAACTCGAAATAAGGATTCTCTGTGAAATTCTCTGATTTCTAAAAGTTTCAGATTAAAAATTGCCCTCAAACGCTCTTCAAGCTAAACAAAACAAGCCTGCAGGCCAGATGCAACTTCAGGGTACTTATTCCCTCTCCCTGGTCTAATATTTTGCCAGAGCTTGAGAGAGACTTTTAAAAAGACCTAGATTCTGCTGTGAAGAAGGTGCACACCTTTAGTTCTAGCTCTTGGGAATCACAGGCAGGGGGGTCTTTGTGAATTCTAGGTCAGCCAGTGCTGCATAGGGAGACCCTGTCTCCACAGAGGAATTAAAAACAACTACCCAGCCTTACCGAGAAGGGAGATATTTGTGCATGTTCTTGCATGAGATTACAAGTAGCAATTCAAATCCAATGAGGAAAAAAGGATTGAAAGCCATTTACAGGAGCTATGAAATCAAACCCCAAGAAGACTTCTGGTACCAGCTCAGATTGGGATTTTGTGATTTGTTGACATTGTGCCTGCTTACTTTGTCTTCCTGGGTTGGTTAGTAGTAGGCACGAGCCATGCTGTCATTAATGTGCAGTACTAACTTTGATATTGAAGCCAGTAGCAGTGGAGTGCCCAGGAGAAAATCTTGCTTAAGAAGTAAATGACTGCCAGGCGGTGGTGGCGCACGCCTTTAATCCCAGCACTCGGGAGGCAGAGGCAGGTGGATCTCTGTGAGTTCGAGGCCAGGCTGGACCAACAGCCTCGAAAACGATACAGAGAAACCCTGTCTTGAAAAACCAAAAAAAAAAAAAAAAAAAAAAAAGAAGTAAATGACTGAAGTACTAATGGTATCTGTTACTATACACTATAGGAAACACAGCTCTTGTGTAAAGAAAAAGTTTTTTGGGGGGGATTTCACAAGGTGAAACTGTCTTCCGTACCTTGGAAACAGAGTCATGGAAATGCATCTGAATAAGTTAGTGGGATGGGGTCTACTGAACAATAGTGCCCTGTAGCTTGTGTATTTATTGCCTTTAATGGAAATAGCCTGTCGATCTGAATAAGTCAACCATTTTCAGGTGCGGGGGGAAGGGGGTCACCCTGAATTACTGGCATGGGCAGAAGCAATCACAAGAGCCCTTGTAAGAGAGAAGTAAGAAGCTTGGCATCCAAGAGGAAGAGACTGGCTGTTGTACCTGGGCAGGTTCTGTCTTTCCTCTCTGCTTCCTGTCTCCCACGGGGGTGTGGGAGCTTTTCTTCCACATGCTTCCTGTCGCCATAATGTTCTGCATAAGGTCACGGTGCCAAGCAACCAAGGAGTCAGCCTGCAAATACAAACCTTTCTTCCCTTAAGTAGTTTACGCCAGAGTCTAAGTCTAAAAGATAAGTAGCACATTTTACTCCTGTGGATCTTTAAGAATTAAAAGTACTGCATAACACACACACACAGACACAGACACAGACACACACACACACACACAGGAGTTGAGCACATTTTACT